TATTCACCTGTGTCTGTTTACCATTCTCATGAATTTAATCCCTCCCTTTTATCAGAAGGATGTTCTTTGTCATGTGTTTCTCAAATGGGTGTTTTTTAGAGAGTATTTTTTGTATTTTGAGATAGGGTCTCACTGTGCAGTTTGAATTGGCCTTAAACTCACTGTGTAGCCCAGGCTGACCTTGAATTTGTGGTTCTTCTCCAGCCTCCAGAGTGCTGGGATTTCAGATGTGTTCTATGCGCCCAGCAAGAGGATTTCTTTTCTTTTTTTCTTTTTATTTTTTTTGAGACAGTGTCTCACTATGCAGTTTAGGCTGTACTGGACTCACTATGTAGCCCCGGCTGGCCTCAGACTTGTGGCAGTCCTCCTGCCTCAGCCTCCCAAGGGCTAGGTTTATAGGTGTGTGCCACCATGCCCGGCAAAAGGATTTATTTTCAACCTTATCTTTTCACCTTATGAAGTAGACTGACTCTTTTCCTGTCTGAGTCTGCCCTGTCCTCAGTGCAGGCTCTTTGCCCATTAGCATGCTCCTTGGCCCTGCCAGCTCTGTGTTTTTTTCCTTCCTGTCTTCTGACCTTGATGGCAATCTTGAATAACAATGTTTTGAGGCTCTCAGACATATGTGATACAGATACATCTGCTGCTTTATCTCCTGCCTCTGTCTGGTTGTATCTTTCTAGGGCTAATCAAGCTTGTTCTGTAGCACCAGCCTCTCGGAGAACCCAGTCTTCATTTCATTAGTGAAAACAGCGGCCTGGCACAGCACTGCTACAAAATACATTCTTCCTCACACACACCACACACTTGTGCTCCAGGTACCAGAGTTCAGAGTCTAATCTTTCCTACTCCGAAGATGAGTTGTTCCCAAGGGAGACCTCATAGCACCTGGGGGATCTGCCAATGCCTTTTTAAGGGTTTTTTTTTACATTCAGCTCAATAATATCTAAGATTTAGTAAGGTATTTTTATGTCTGCATTGAGATAGGTAACTATTTTTCCCCTCAAAAGTTAACTGGTGGTGCCTGCTTGTAATCCCAGCACTTGGAGCCTGAGGCAGGAAGAGCAGGAGGATTGCTGTGAGTTTGAGGCCACCTGGACTACAAAATGAGTTCAAGGCCAGCCTGAACTGCATAGTAAAACCCTGCTTCAGAAAGACAAAAGAAAAGGTTAACTGCCCCAGTACTATCAACTAGTTCATCTTTTCCTCACCAACTTAATACCACCTTTATCAATATTGCATTTTCATATTTGCAGTGGCAGACAGAAACATCAAAACAATACCCAGGATTTAAAGGCAGATTTATTTACATTGATGGGTACCGATTGGGATCACTCCCAAAATATCAGATCCTGATCTCTGGTGGTCTAGGGCTTATATGGGATAAGTAAGCAGAAAGTACAGAGGCAGAATGGTTTGTCAATTGGGGATTGGTTTATACAATGTGCATCACAGTGACCAGCCATTTCTAGAAGACAGAAACAACCTGAACTGCAACAGGAACTATCACCTGGACAACTAAGAAACAAGTACACTGGTGTGTGTGGGCATTTTATGTTATATTTTACCCCTTTTAGTTTCCCCAGCAAATCTTTGCTGGTCATATTACATGTGATTTTCTGAGACAAAAGGCCCAACTAGAAGCAGTACATTAGGGTTGTCAGTGATCCTAGGATGGGCTCTAGTAAAGGTCCCCCGATTGTCTTATTACAGAATTTTTCCCTAAGTTGTTTTTAGGAAGAGACATAATTCAGGCCTGTGCTGTGACATTACTCTGGAAAGATAGGGAGTTAATGTGACCTAGGAGAGTGTCCAGTGTGCCTTGGATGCTCATCAAATCTTGGCCAAGTGTTTGATTGTTCTATTTTCTTAGGGCAACCGCCCATAGAGTTTAAGGCAAAAAACACAGCTAGCCGGCTGAGGAAGGTAAGCCTGAGGAAAGCAGCCTGAAAAGACACAAAAATCAAGAAGAATAGGTATGGAGTAACCCTGTGAACTGTGTCCTCAGGCTTCAGCTGTGTGTGGACTGGTCAGCATCCAGAGTGACCAGAGCAGGGCTTTGAGTGTGAGTGAGCTGTCTGGTCCAGGTAAATTTTTCAGCAGCTCTGAGGCGGGATTTCTGAACTTGTAGAGGTAGATAGTGTGTACCTGGGTTATATGTGTGTGCAGGAATCTACAGATATAGCTGGTCTTTTAACTGGTTACAGGCTGTACGTAGTTTTAATGTTATCTAGTCTTTGAGTTACCTCTGCTACAAATGCAGGCCCGTTGTTGCTGCCAATGATAGGGGTAGGCCATGTCTAGGGGTGATTTTTTACAGCAGGACCCTACAAACATTGTCTTCTCAGTACAGACTACAGGCATATGCCATCATACCCAGCAATTTCTTTTTAAAAATAAGGTGCATGCCTATAATCTCAACATTCTGAAAGGCTGAGATAGGGGAATCTCAAGTTCCAGCTCAGCCTGGGTAATTTAGTGAGTTCTCAAAACCTTGTTTCAAAATAAATAAGAAAAACATTGGTCTCACTCAGTGTGGAATGGACAGAGAAAGCTGCTGAGATCCAGTTAGTCCCTCTGTCTCTTCTCTAGTTCTGGGTGTCTGGGCAGTTACTCTTCCCAAAGCACAAGACGTGAGGTTTATTCCCTGCAGAGGGTGAAGGAAGGGTCTCGGGGCAGGGCAGGGTGTTAAGTGAATGCGTGTGTCCCAATGCTCTCTCCAGCCCTCTTCCCACTCAGTCCCAAATCTCTGCTCCAGTTCTTTACTCTCTAGGCTGGAGAGTGCATGCTTTCACTGGAGAATCTGACTGACCTAAGGAAAAAGAAACTTTACAGGGGCTGGGTTGATCCTCAACTGATAGACATGATTGTAGAGCTCTTTGAATCAGCCTTTTATTTTTATGAATGAAAAAAACCAAGGATTATCAGATATCTGAGGAAAACCTGTAATGTGGAAGAAAGACAAAATGAACAAACAGTAAAAAGCAACTTGGAAGAAATAGACACTGCAAAGAAAGGAAAACTGAAAAAAAAAAAAAAACAAAAAAACAATAAACCCAAACAGCCTATCCTTAAAGCTACAGAGACAACAAAGTTGGTTGCTTAACAAACAAAAACACTCAGAACAAAATTATTTCTTAGAAATTAAAAATCTGGAGCTGAGCATAGTGGCACACACTTCTAATCTCAGCACTCGGGAGGCTGAGGCGGGAGGATTGCTTTAAGTTTGAGGCCAGCTTGTGGTACATAGTGAATTCAAGGCTGCCTGGACTACAAAGTGAGACCCTGTCTCAAAAATAAATAAAATTAAAAAAATAAAAATAAAAATCAGAGAAGACATGGAAACAAACAAGAACCTACCTCAGCTGAAGCTTTGAAATGCTAGGTAGCTTTCCCAGAATGAGCAGAGGTGGCCAATGGAAGAGAAAAGATGAAAGGGACAGAGTCCAGCACCTGAGTGTGAGCATCTCCAGACTGGTTAGGGGTGTGAAGAGAGGAAATTCTTTTTTTTTGTTTTTTTTTCCCTGGTACCAGGAATTGAACTCATGACCTTGCGCTTGCCAGGCAGACGCTGTGTCACTGAGCTAAATCTCCAGCCCCCTATCAGGAAATTCTTAACAAAAGATTTCTATGAAATCTCCCAATACTGGGGCTGGGGATATAGCTCAGTGGCATAAGTGCCTGCCTGGCAAGCGCAAGGTCGTGAGTTCGATCCCTGGTACTGCAAAATAAATAAATAAATAAATAAAACCAAAAATCTCCCAATACTGAAGGACTGCACTTCTGGTGTCTAAGAATAACCAAGTACCTATTACACAGCACAGTAGCCCAGTGTAGCTGTGTTACTTACAGTGAATGTTCTGGCACTGTTATAAATGCAGAATTACGAAGTGATGCTGTGGGATGACCGTGTGTCAGAGTGTGTATATGTATGTATTTCTGTTAGGTGTTGTCAAAGGAACAGAATTGCTGGGTCTGAGAGCATTAATGTATAATGCCAAATAATTTTCCAAAATGTTTGGTGTCTAGCAGAACACTGTGCCCTGGTTACCAGTTCCAGGGTGGGCTGTCAAGACTTGCATCATACTAAGAGCGTCCCTGGGGAAAACACCACAGTGGAGCCCTGGGTGGAGTGACATGTTACTTACATGCAGAAGGGACAGAGCAAGGTTAGCTCCAACTGTGTGCATTGGTCCCTCATGGCCAGTGGGTCTCCCATGGGTCCCTACGGGACAGTTCACCTGTGTACATTCATGTTGTGGCACAGTGGAAGGGCGTGCTTGGTTCAGGTCACTTGCAGTCCTCAAGTGAAACCCATTTGTCATGCAGTGCTGAACAACTGATGACATTGCTGACAGTGACACTGTTGAGATGAGGTCATTCTCTGAGGAAGAGATAAGAAAGGGCAGGAAGGACTAGAGGAAGTAGCTCAGTGGTAGAGTTTGCCTGGCATGCACAAGGCCATGATTCCATCCCCAGCACCACAGAAAAAAAGGCTGATATCTGGATAGTGTTTATATTATTATTTTCACTCACTCAATTATTTGCATGCTTTTCTGATATGTTATAATAAATAGTTGAAATTGTAGACATACATATTAAACTGATTTGTAGATTTTTTGGGGGGTTGGAACAGGATCTTGCTGGCCTTTAGCTCATCCTGCCTCAGCTCCCTGAGCACTGGGATTACAGGCATGTGCCACCACGCCCAGCCATAAATATTTTGAAGTTAATGTGAAATGAACAGACAAAACTATGTTAATGCTAACAATGGAAATTTGGTGGCTGTATCACTACACCAGAAACATGGTTTTCCTGTCTTAGTTGGTCCCCCTGAACTGGGATAAACAGGACAGTCAGCTTTTACAGGAGACAAAAGGGAGTTTGTTTGTTTGTTTTTGAGATTCAGTGTAAGTAAATAGTATCACAGTTTCTCCTTTATTTTGAAGTGTGACATTTACGAACCTGTTCTTACTTCTCTTTATCCTTTTCTCCTTTTCTAGGTTTTTGTGGAGACTCTGGATAAGTGTTTTGAAAATGTTTGTGAATTGGATTTGATCTTCCATATGGATAAGGTATGTTTGTCCCACATCAGGGTTGCTGGAAAACTAAGAGGAGGGCATCACAAGCCATTTTTAAACCTTCATTGTATTTCTCTTGACTTTATTCTAACATAGTACTAGAACTTGTTTTATTTAATAACTTCATAAGCTGGAGGGTCTTTTGCTAAGCTCTATTAACAGTTTTTTGTTTGTTTCCCTATATAGAGTCTCACTGTATAGTTCATGCCAGCTTTGAACTTCCTGTGTGACTGCATACTTTGAACTCTCCTGCCTCAGCTTCTTGAGTGCTGGGATTATAGGTGTGTGCTACAGTGCCTGGCTCATGACAGTTAACATGTAGTATAAGATTACTATTGGGCCTATGTTATGGTTCCTCTGTTCACAGACAGACTGCTTGGTGTAGGGCAGTGATGACAGTGGAATAACTGGCTATACAGACAAAGGTGAGAGTTTTATGTTATTAAGAGTTTGCCAGCCCTAGGCCAGTGACAGTGAAACTTTGGAATACATAACACGGGTAAAATTTGTACTTTTCCTCAGGAGTAAGATAGTAACTAATACATCTGTAAATACTTTCAGGTCAGGTGACACTAGGAAAGCATACTTGGCAACAGAATTGAAATGACCCCAAGTAGCATTCTAGGGTTTGTTTTGCTAGGGCCCGTGTCCTTGTGTGCCAGATTAAACCCAAGAGGGAGCCAGAGAGAAGGGGTGGGGACGTTGTTTTGTTTTATCCAGGAGGGCGCATGATGTCTCAGTGATGTTCACTGGTGACTCAGCTGCTTGCTGTCACTCCTGTCCATGGCCTTTGGAAGGAGATAGGATTTTTGAGAGGCTGCTGCTCATTGCCAGGCAGTGATCTTTAGTCATTTGTTTTCATCCTGACAAAGCAGCTCCGTATCTTAGGTGCATCGTAGCTGGCATTGCCATCTAGAAGACTTTATTGCCCTTGTACAGCAAGGTCTTCAGTTGCAGTGACTCTATCAGGCAGTGAATTCCTGTTCTGCTGGTGGAAAGGAGTGGCCTTGTCTCCCAGCACTGGCTTGGCTTTGGGCTCCAGTAGCGCCAGGCCAGGGAGAATCATAGATTCCTTTCCCCTCTGCAGATACTGGGCTTGGGACCCTGACACGTACAGGGCTCCCTGAAGCTCTTGAAATGCCGCTCACTTGCCCTTTCATGTAAATGCATCCTGGAAACCCCAGCTGTCTCCTGGCCTCTTGTCCTTCCAGGCACCAGAGGGGGTAGGTGCGCGGCGGCTGTTAAAGGTGCTGCTACCTGGTCATTTCTGTCGAGCACGGCCGCCATTCAAATTGGCTTCCCCTCTACACCAGTGGGAAACAAGGGTTATAGGCCTTATTGTTCTTCTTTTGAAGCATTTTTAAAATTGTGAAATAAGGTGTTATCTAAAGGGCTGCCTCCTGCTGTGCAAAATGGTGTCCTTTGTGGATACCACTGATTGTTCACCAGGCCAGAAATAAATTTCTCTGTATCTCAGAGTGTAGACTAAGAGATAGATTTTGCTGGGACAAGGGGAGTTTTCCAAACAAGAGAATAGAAGGCACAGATCTCTCACCCCCACCTTGTCCCCGTGGTGGGAGTCTCCCAAGGTGACTGCCCCTACCCCCCCATGCTGTCCCTTTGTACCCAACAGCGTGAGCATAGCTCACCAGTGAAGAGGCACCCAGAGTGCTTGGGCGCCCGCAGGACCCCTCTGCACACCAGCTGTCTGTAGAGCTTGTCTGCGAGTGCCAGGTGCCTGCTGATGGGGTGCCTGGAGAGACAGCTGTCGGTGTGCTGCAAAGGTGGGCGTGGGTGCTGCTGCCCTCACTGAAGCACGAGGTTTTCCCCAGCCCAGGCTGCTCAGGGTGTAGCCAGCCCTGAGTGTGCTTCCGAGATGTGCAGAGTCCCAGCATATTGGTTTGTGCATTACCTTCTTTGCTTGGTATTTTTTTTTTTTCAGTACCGGGAATCAAACTGATGACCTTGCACTTGCCAGGCAGGCATTGTGCCACTGAGCTAAATCCTCAGCCCCATTTGCTTGGTATTGTTTGCAAGAATTATCCATTTTGTTATGAGTAGCCTTTTCCAGAGTGGTTGTATCAGTTTATAATTACACTGGTTGGGGTGAACGTTTTCACTGCCCCATATCCTGATCAAAAAGTTGATGTTCTCAGTATAATAATCTCAGTATTGTTGACCAAGTAATTTCCAGTTCTTTTCCTTCTGGGACGCAGGGGGTGGAATTACCCATCTGTGCTTTAGGTGTAGCTGTTTGAAAGTAGCTAATGAAATGTCAGTAGATGTGACATGCGCCACTTCTAGGCAGCACTGTAAGCGCCTGTGCACAATTCTCCCTTTTTCCCTGCTTCTGCGGTTGTGGAAGGATGGATACAGCCTCCCTTGGTTGTGTTAAAGGGAGAGGTTTTCATGCGTCATCTGTGGACATTTTACTGAGTTTGTTCCGATCCTCAAGCCTAAACCGGTGCCTGTAATCCCAACACTCGGGAGGTTGAGGCAGGACAATCAGGAAAATTGCTGCGAGTTCGAGGCCAGCCTGGGTTACAAAGTGAGTTTAAGGCCAGTCTAAACTGCATAGTGAGACTGTGTCTCAAGAAGACAAAAAAAAAAAGAAATCCTCACACCTTTGTGTCTGTTTTACCTTCTCTGCTGACCAGAGTCTCCTGTGTGGGCGGAACACAAGCAGGGATGGGCAGCAGGTCTTGTTTCTGGTTTTCCAGGGCCCTTTTATCCTTTGCTGTGCAGTGTAGTATTTGCTAGAGGTTGTTTGGTAAATATGCCTTATCAGGGTGAGGAAGCTTCTTCTCTTTTCTTCCTGGTAACTAAGGGGTTTTTTGTTTTTTGTCTTAATTTCTTTTTTTTGTCTTTTTGAGACAGGGTCTCCTTATGCAGTTCAGGCTGGCCTTGAGCTCACTTTGTAGCCCATGCTGTTGCAACAAACCTCCTGCCTCAACTTCCCAAGTGCTGGGATTACAGGTGTGCACCATTGTCTTAATTTTTTGAGACAAGGTCTCACTATGTAGCACAGGCTGGCCTCAGACTCACAGCCATCATCCTGCCTCAGCCTCCTGAGTGCTGGGATAATAGGTGTGTGCCATGCCTGGTGGGCTAAGGGGTTTTAATCAAGAAAAGATGTTAAAATTTATCAAAAGCTCTTCCTTCATCTCCTGAGGTAATAATGACCTTTTGCCTCATCCTATGAGGACGTCTGCTGTGGCAGTAAAGTAATTCCAGTCCCAGCTATTTTATCAGACATGGCTTTAAGAAGAAATAAAAGGTCATAAAAATGTTGCTCTTATATGTCTTATCTTCACATAAGTTCTATAAAGTATTTTGCTGCTGCCACAGGTTTTGTTTACAGTTTATAAAACTATTTTTAGCCAGGTGTGGTGTTGGATGCCTGTAATCCCAGCACTCAGGCTGACGCAGGAGGATTTCAAGTTCAAGGCTGAATGGGGCAAGGTAGCAAGTTCGAGGTTGGCTTGGACTACAGAATGAGACCTGGTCTCAAACAAAACATAAAGACAAACAACAAAAAACCCCACAAAACTTTAGTTCTTCATGTGGTATTGGGAAATGACTGTTCATATCCTGGGGTTTGAAGTGACGGTCCTTTGAAGTGAAGGAGCCAGGCTTGCCTACCCCAGTCACTTGGAGGATGTCTGAAGGTGTTTCCCGAAGGGACTTTCTCTGCGTGCAATTTCAGGCTTCTCTTTGACCGAATGTAAAGCAGATCCTAATTCAGGTGTATCTTCTATTGATAATAGACATAGGGTTTTGCTTATGTTTTCTTTGACTTACAGAGGCAGAAGGCCCGTCACAAGGCCATAGAACATCACTGAGTTCTGCATCTTCCTTGCAGACTCTCCCCACACTGGGGTCAGAAATTCTTCCCAGTCCTCAGCTCTCCAGGTCCTGCACCCCTCACCTTATGGGCGTGGGCCTGAATAATAGGCTAGGGAAAGACCTGACGCCAGGCATTCCTGCTGCCGACAGCCTGACTATATAGTGAGACCCTGTCTCAAAATGGAACAAAACAAAAAATCCTATATGTATAATAAATAATTAAGGTACTTGGGCAATTAACATTAATGAATACTGTGTCCAATATAGTTCATATTTAAATGTGCCCAATAGTGACATATATGTGTGTGTGTGTCATACATAATAAAATGTTACATATATGTCACATTATTGGTTATAGATATAAAATCTGTTTCAGTTATGGGTCATGTTGCCTTTAATTATTATGTTTTTAGATTTCAATTGTTTATTAGGTTCTTTTTTTTTTGTCTTTTTGAGATAGGGTCTCCCTGTGCGGTTTAGGCTGGCCTTGAGCTCACTTTATACCCCAGGCTGGTCTTGAATTTGCAATGATCCTCCTGTCTCAGCCTTCCCAGTGCTGGGATTACAGCATGCGCCACCACGCCCAGCTTGTTTATTAGGTTTTAAAAAGCCATTCTCTCTTGTTGATTGCACCAGAGTTAGTTTTCCTAAGCCATTCTCTGGACTAGCCTTGACTCCTTGGCCAGACATTTAAGGCTAGTTTGTCTCTATCCTTTCCCAGCCCTCAGTACCACAACTTCTGGTCAGATACTCTGGATCACCTGGTAGCTCTGGCTGGTGCTCCGGCTGAGCGCTCTGACAGCATGTCTGTTCCATACTGGATCCTGCCTGTCATTCCTGCCCAGCTCAGGTCCTGCCCACAAAGCTGTTCCCTATCACTCAGCCAGTCTGAGGTCTGATGTCTTTGGACCACCATGTGTAGTACTGTTTCTAACCTTGTGGGACCTTAGCTTTATGGTTCTGTTTTCCTGCCTGATTGGACAGTCCTTATCTTTGTGCTGTTGCATCCCTCACTGAATCGAGTGTGGTCTTTTACTGAGTGGGACATTCTTCAGAGGAATGTCACTGAAGGGTTGATTCCTGGGACTACAGCTCATAAACTTGGTTGCAATTTAAACTGCTGGAGGCTGGAATAAGGTCTGATGTCC